GTATGGATGCGAAATTATCGTTAGTACCGATGATATAACTACAAAAGAGGGATGTCGGCAACTTATTTACAGAGCTGAATCTTTGGGTCCAGTGGGTGGAATCTTTAATCTCGCAGTTACATTACGAGATGGACTTTTTGCTAACCAAAATGTGAAACAATTTGTGGAATGCTTTTTACCTAAAGCTACAGCAACCAAATATCTCGATGAGCTATCCCGAGTTTTATGCCCAGAGTTGGAGTATTTCACAATATTTTCAAGCGTTTCATGTGGTCGGGGAAATGCAGGCCAAACAAACTATGGAATGGCTAATTCTATTATGGAGCGTATCATCGAATGCCGCCACAAGGATGGATTACCAGCTAAAGGAATTCAATGGGGTGCTGTTGGAGAAGTGGGATTAGTGGCTGATATGGCTGATGATAAAATAGATATGGAGATAGGAGGTACGCTTCAGCAAAGAATTTCATCATGCCTTCAAGAACTTGACCGTTTATTGAGTGCTGAAGAACCAATAGTTTCAAGCATGGTTGTCGCCGAGAAAAGATCAGGACGTTCAGGAAATGAAAATATTATTGATGCTGTTATGAATATAATGGGCATTAGAGATTTAAAATCCGTCTCTTTAGGAACCACATTATCTGAAATGGGTATGGACTCATTAATGGCGGTTGAAATCAAACAAACCTTGGAACGAGATTTCGAATTGATTTTGACTCCACAAGACTTACGGTTGCTCACTTTCCAAAAGCTTCAAGAGTTTGTAGATGCAAAGAAAAAGGAAAATAATGATGGGCTTCCTATGATTTTTGCATCTGATAGTAAGCTTTTAGGGATGGATTTACTTATTCGAAACTTGGGGGATGAAGTGCACTGTGATAAAATTGTGGTTCCTTTAGCTACCCGTGCAACGCTTTCAAAAGAAAGTCTTCCTCCCAATATTATTATACCTGGATTAGAAGGTACAGCTGGACGGGCATGGTATCAATTAGGATCTGCCCTACACAGTCGTGCCATCGTCTTACAGCTACACCAATTTTCAAATTTACTAACCGTAAACGAAATATCCGAAATGAGTATTGAAGTAGGTACAATAACTTTTAAAAATACACATTCTATTAAAATGTATTTTTTTTTTAGCACATCAAACCCATTTTGAAGCCAACCGAACCATTTTACATAATTGGGTATTCTTATGGAACGCTTGTGGCTCTAAAAATTGCGCAGTTACTTGAAACTGCTGGATTCCGCGGTCATATAATGTTGCTTGATGGAGCCCCTTACTTTCTAAAACGACTAACAAATTTGCACTTAGGAGAACATTTTTCAGAAAACGATCTTTATAATTTGCTTTTTTCTAGTATTGTGAACCAAATATTTCCTGATGAAACAAAAGAATCAGCAGCTCAGATTTTTCAAAAAATTGACAACGTTGGTGAAAAAATGGCTTTATTCATGGAATATGTTGAAAAACAAAATGTATACTCCAAGGAGTACTCCGCAACAATGGTAAAAGCTATGTTTAATAGAATAAAAATGACTTCAACTTTAGATGTGGAAAGCTTCGGAAGCCTTAAAGCACCCATTACTCTAGTCCGTCCAGCGGAAGTTTCACTACAAGATGTTGAAGAAGACTATTGTGTTTCCCAATTAACGTCTGGTAAAGTGACTCTAAAAGTAATTGAAGGAAATCATACGACCATGTTAGATAATCCAATTTTAGGTCAAGTTATAAATGATTTTGACCCTTCTCTCCTAGATGATAAAAATTTTGAAGAATATATTAGAAATGATAAACCAGTTTCTGTAGTGTAAATGTATACTCTTGAACTATAATTCATATAATTACAATTAAAAACTGTATGATTTGTTTATAAGTTAAATCATTAAAATTGATATAATATTTTGTAAAATGTTTTCAAATTAAACTTGAAAATAAAGTGAATCTTTCATTTATTTTGTGTCAACAAATCTAAACAATTTCGTTTTAAGCCTAATCTGTCATTTTCTCACTTCCTCTTAAGCGAACGGTCATCTTTTCATGTGCGATCATCTTTTTTACTTACTTGAGAATCGAATTTTGAGAAACTTCAGATTTAACTTAAACCGCTTTAATTCAATTCGAATATCGTTTAATTTCAATTCCAAGTATAGGCTATCTCTGCTTTTTCCTCTTCTTTTGTTTTTTTCTTTCGTGTGCAATAAATGTCTTATCTCTATTTCTGCAATTTTCCTTTGCTCTCCAAAGCTTCCGCTTCGGCTCCAATTTGGTACAGTGGTTTATGGTATAGTGTTTATAAACTTTTTATATTCTTAATTTCAAGATATCAAGATCCATATATGATTTTTTAAGATATCTACTAGATTGGTCAAATTTTACCATGCCTAATGCTGAGTTGAAAATTCATCTGCGATCTGCGTAAAAAAAATGTGTGGCTTTGTATGTATGTGTCACTGCTCGCAAGACGGCGTAAAAATGTTTTGGCTTCCAAATTTCAATTCCTCGTTTCTATTTTCAATGCGCCGATGTGGTAGGTAGTAGAACAAATAGTATTTTTAATCGCTGCAGATCGAGACAGGGTGGTAGCGCAATGCCTAGAGTAGTTACTCTATGTACAATCTGTGTTCAAATCCTCGTGATTTGAACTTTTGAACTTTTTTGAGGACTTTGAACTTTTTTTTTCTTGTGTAAATATTTTTACTTATACTTACTTATTAGTTATTTTTACAACAATTGTAACATAAAGCAATTAAAAATAACAATAATAAAGTAAATATATAAAGTAAAAAAAAAATATTTCCAAAAATAAAAGTAAGAAAAAATAATAAGAAAAATAAAAGTAAATATAAAAATACTCATAAAATTAAATCTTTTTAAAAATGAATTAAGCCGCCCGCCCACTAATGAAATCGAACCCAGGACCCCAAGGATGAGGACCGCAAGCTTTCCATCTAGGCTACCCTCCAAGTTGTTTTAATGGCATCGGTTTCACCATAGACTTAAATTTTATTATAGAGTTTGAGCATGCCTGATGGACTTTAAAATGCAGTTTTTTAAAGTCCTTTTCTTAAAGGAGTCCTTTATATCTTTGGCCTCGGGCGTAATGTCAGAAACATTAATTAACATTGAAAGATTGGCATTATTTTGGTTCTGCGATATTATTAAGTAACTGCAATTCATTTCCATTTAGCATCTCACGATCATTGCGCTTACTTAATAAAATATCGTTTACGAAATTTTTAAGCTCCAAAAAACGTTCAATCATATAAAATGTGCTATTCCATCTAGTGGCAAAATCTTGGAATAAAACCTTGTTGGTTACTTTCTTAAGTTGTCGCTGGCAATGCAACTCTGCTTAAAAAATGTATCGATTCCCTTTAACTTTGCACTGCATACACCTATTGACTCTCTTTGCATAAAAGATCTTGCAACTAAATTTAGGATATGTGCATGGAAGCATGGTATGTGCTTTTTTTTCGCACAAAAGCTAAGTCAACGGCTTCGACGACACTCGCTCCATTGTCGGTGACAACGGCTGTAACTGATTCCTTTTCAATAGGCCAATCTTTGCAGCAACTGTCCAGCATTTCAGTGAGGTACACTGATGTGTGACGCTCGCATAGCTCCAAAACTACGATGGTCAACGACTTCATTTCAAGCTCTAGCTGAAAATGAGCAGTAATGCCCAAGTAACTCTGCATTGACATCTGGTCGCTCCACACATCCACAGTTAAAGTTAGCGGTTTCCCATTTATACATCTCTGCCACTTTTCCATCATTTCCCAAAAATTTGTCGTCAACCCGCTTTGTTTAATACATACCGCGACGGTATTTTGTAGCGCGGTGCTGCCGTGCTCATCAAATGTATGAAGCCTGGGTTTTCTACGATGGAAAATGGTTGGACATCTTTTATAATGATATAAATTATGGCATCGTTTATTTTCTTGATTTTTTCGCCTTCGGAGCCATATTCCGTTATATTTTTAAATCTTTCAGCAATTAGAACTTGGGCCGCAACGCTAGAACTAGATTCTGCAGGCACCTCATCGTGCTGATCAATTTTATGTTGGGAACGCAGGTAGTCCCTCATGGTTGTGTGTCTTTACGAGTATAGTATAGTATACTCATATCCTGAGTTGGTATGAGCATGTCCGCCTGTTTGTCTAGTCTCTCAGTTTTAAAGCTATCGACTTGAAACTTTTCACACACCCTTCCTTCCTTTGCACGCAGTATATAAGTCAGAACGACCGGCATCGGCCTACTACATACTACATGATCGGAAATAGTATAACTTTGGTGTTTTCAGAATTAGAGAGTTCAAGATTTTACTTCAGAGTTATTTTTGGAAAAAATAATACGACATGCCAAATTTCATAAGGATTGGTCGACTATATCCTATAGCTGCCATATAACTGAACAGTCGGAAATGACGAAACTTTCGTGTTTTTTAAAATAGAAAGGTGAAACTTAGTACAGATTATATTTTTGGTCAGTTAATTCGACCTACCAAATTTCTGCCATATAATTGCACAATCGGAAATAGAATTTTGTTGAAATACCAACTTTTGTATTTTTGAAGATAGAAGCTTGAGTCTTTTTTTTAAGATTTTGTATTGTAATAAATTGGTTATATTATGATACTCTCATAATGATCGGCCAATACGTCCGATTTTTGCGATATATATCCTATATATCTCTTTGTTCCTTTATGCTTAAACAAACATGTTAAAATGTGTTAAAGTTAATAGTTAACACACATTTGAGTGTTTGCGTAAGCAGAAAAAAACAATGAAAGCGAGGCATTTAACTTTAAATTGCGAGGCAATTTATCAACTTCCAAAAATAGGGTTTTTTGTTTTTTTTTTTTTTTATAATTCTAGGCATTTAAACCATTAGTAAGAAAACGTACATTAATTATAAACAATCATAAAATAATTAAACTACAATTCATCTGAAAAAAATATTTTTTCTTGAATACTAATTTTTACTTTCAGGCCAACCGTTTTATATACTTAACGACGTTGATTGTTTTGAATATTAGTAGTTTCAATTCTACCTTTCATGTGTCAAGTGCTAGTGTCCATTAACGGGTGAGCTCAAATTTTCTGACTTATTATTAAAAATGCAAAGAAGGTTGTCGTTTTAACAACACGTATACCTCAAAGTAACAATCAAATAATTGAATATTGTTATTGTGCAATGCTTTGTCATGCTACATAAAATGTGAACACTGAAATATTTGTATGTATAAAGATACATGTGTACATACTTACGCGTTCCAAGGTGGTTTTAGAAGCTTTACTGTCACAAAAGTATGATTTTTGTTGTTATAGTTTCTGTGCGAGTTAACCAACTTATAGTGTTCCCAATACAAATATATCAGTTGTAATAATGTAGTGTAGTTCAAATGTGGTATACATTTTTTTAAGCTAAATCATTTAACTTTTCAGGTAAAAACGTGTTTACGCCTTTAATCTCACTATCGGTTTGTAAGAATGCATGTATTTAGATTCGTAGCTTGCATTTTATTCATCGCGGAGCTCATTATTTTTTTTAAGCAATGCGACGCTACAAGGCTTGAAGCTTCATCAAGGTAACTAATTTTCTTTAACTTTAACTTGTAGATATGATATTTATTTTATTGTACTTTTATATATAATAACTGTAAAAAATTTAAATATAAAAATATGATTTGTTGAAACTTTCTTAACTATTCAAACTCAACTAATTTAGCAGGTTGATGAAGTCAGGTCTTAGGCTGTTTAAGGGGAGGGTAAGGTATTAAAATTTTTTTTTTGTAATTTTTTTTTTATTTTTTAAATTGAATGCATAATATTTGAAGAATATTGTGTCAAAATTTCAAGTCAATTAAAGCAAAATTGACGAAGTTATTAGTTATTGATGAAGTTGCTTGTAAACGTTTTACACTGGATTTGTTTTGTGTTTAAAACTTTAAAGCGTTTTTCCCACAACTCACGTTTTCAAAGTCGGTGCCCCTCATAACTTCAAAACTACTGCACCGATCCTTTTGAAATTTTAAACAATATTTCTGTACATATTTTACGAGGTAACGCTGTCGAGTTTTTTTTTTGTTCATAATTTTGATTTTGCAATGACAAATTAACCGATTTTTTCCCAAAATATTGAGTTTTTCACTTCAAAGTCTTCGAAAAAATTAAAAAATTGCAATTTTCAAAAAACCTTTACAGCGTTACCTGGAGCGAACTATTATCTAACGAATGAATTTTCATTTTTTGATTACAAATGATCCAGCACCGAGTTATGAGGGGCACCGCAATTCGCCTTTTTTTGGCGACACGTCCGGACAATTGCTACCATTGCCATATTTTTAAATATTTTTTTGTAAAAATTTGATAAAACATTCTTCTAATGTCATACTATAATATACCGTTGGTTGAATAAATAAATTTTTACTGTGTCGTCAGGAAAAAAATCAAAAAAACTTGGCTTTTTTCGCATGATTTGACCTTACCCTCCCCTTAAGATATTACATTTTGGCAGTTAATTACGTGTTGTGTATCTTAGCACACTATATTATGTGGTAAATTTATTCAAAAATAGTACGATTTTTGGTAAGTTATGTGAGTATGTTTTTTGAGAAGGCTTCGTTTTTGTATTGAAAAATGGATTTTATATATGAGTTGCCTTATGGATGATAAAGACACAACAAAAGGAACTACACGCACACATATAACGAAAAACGGAGTTTACTACTCGTGAACAGGGATATGCCTAGATTCCAATCAACCTATACGAAAAAAAAATAAAATCAAATCACGCCATGCCATCACCACCATAATTCAAAACTTATTAATTTAAGCCTTGGTAAAATTATATTTTTTGAAAAAAGGGTGCAATCAATTGCCCATCAATATTTTGAAATGCTTACCTCCAAAGGCTTTTCGAAATATTTATGTTTTTAGTTTAGGCTATTTTTTTTCCAGATAAATACATGATCTTGATACTGATATCCTTTAATTTTTAAGATTTTTTTAATATTTTAAGGACAGGATTTTTAAACATTTTTAAGCTGATATAACTTCGGATGAGTTGAAAATAATGCATATAGTTGACCGATAGAATTTCCTAAGAAAATCAATTTATTCTAATACAACATTCAAAAAAAAGTCCCAAGCTTCTTTGTATCTCCAAAAATAGCAAAATTGGTATTTTTACCAATTACTAAACACCATTTCCGATCGTTCAGTTATATGGTAGCTATAGGATAGTGTCAACCGATCCTAATGAAATTTGGTGGGTCATACTGTTTTCCCAAATATTGAATTCATACAAAATTTCAACTCAACAGCCGCCCACTAATGAAATCGAACCCAGGACCCCAAGGATGAGGACCGCAAGCTTTCCATCTAGGCTACCCTCCAAGTTGTTTTAATGGCATCGGTTTCACCATAGACTTAAATTTTATTATAGAGTTTGAGCATGCCTGATGGACTTTAAAATGCAGTTTTTTAAAGTCCTTTTCTTAAAGGAGTCCTTTATATCTTTGGCCTCGGGCGTAATGTCAGAAACATTAATTAACATTGAAAGATTGGCATTATTTTGGTTCTGCGATATTATTAAGTAACTGCAATTCATTTCCATTTAGCATCTCACGATCATTGCGCTTACTTAATAAAATATCGTTTACGAAATTTTTAAGCTCCAAAAAACGTTCAATCATATAAAATGTGCTATTCCATCTAGTGGCAAAATCTTGGAATAAAACCTTGTTGGTTACTTTCTTAAGTTGTCGCTGGCAATGCAACTCTGCTTAAAAAATGTATCGATTCCCTTTAACTTTGCACTGCATACACCTATTGACTCTCTTTGCATAAAAGATCTTGCAACTAAATTTAGGATATGTGCATGGAAGCATGGTATGTGCTTTTTTTTCGCACAAAAGCTAAGTCAACGGCTTCGACGACACTCGCTCCATTGTCGGTGACAACGGCTGTAACTGATTCCTTTTCAATAGCCCAATCTTTGCAGCAACTGTCCAGTATTTCAGTGAGGTACACTGATGTGTGACGCTCATAGCTCCAAAACTACGATGGTCAACGACGTCATTTTAAGCTCAAGCTGAAAATGAGCAGTAATGCCCAAGTAACTCTGCATTGACATCTGGTCGCTCCACACATCCCCAGTTAAAGTAAGCGGTTTCCCATTTATACATCTCTGCCACTTTTCCATCATTTCCCAAAAATTTGTCGTCAACCCGCTTTGTTTAATACATACCGCGACGGTATTTTGTAGCGCGGTGCTGCCGTGTTCATCAAATGTATGAAGCCTTGGTTTTCTACGATGGAAAATGGTTGGACATCTTTTTTTTATTTATTATTATTAACAATGAACTGTTATTTCTTTATTATTATAACTAAGAGTAAGGATAAATTAAGTTAAAAGATATTCCATAATTTTGGATTTAATTACATCTAGGGATAGTTCAGGGGACATTAAATGGGATAACGAGCTATAATTTTTACAGATAACGCGGAATGGATCGTGTTCCACAAAATTAGATCTAGAAATCGGTAACCAAAGGGGTCGGAATGATCTAGTTACTCTATTAGGCACAGAAAAAATTAATTTTTCAAGAAGTACTTGTGAGTCAACCTGTCCAAGAATAAGCACATGAAGCAGCATAACCCCAGCACAAGTACGGCGCTCTTTTAAAGGAGGTAGGTTTAGTAGTTTTAACCGGCAATTATACGACGGGAGGGAAGTGGCAGTATCCCAGTTTAAGCTTTTTAACGCAAATAGCAGAAACTTCTTTTGGATAGATTCAATCCTCCTTTGGTGAACAAAGAATTGCGGACTCCAAACGCTAGAACAGTATTCCAAGATAGGACGAACCAACGATACGTATAGAGTTTTAGTTGTGAAAGGATCATCAAATTCTTTAGACCAACGTTTGATAAAAGCTAGCACACCTCTGGGCTTATTAACTGTTAGTGACATGTGTTCCTTGAAGGATAACTTATTGTCAAAAATTACTCCAAGATCGTTAATTAGGGAAACACAATCTAAGACGTTATTCCCAAGAGAGTACGAAACGATGTGAGGCACACTGCGATTGAACGTCATAACCTTACACTTAGAGCAGTTAAGTAAAAGGAGATTTTTTGAGCACCACAAGAAGAGGTCTAATTAAGGTCTTCGTTAAGGCCTAATTGCAGGTGTCTATGAAGGAAATGGTCTGAGAAACTTGACATCATCATAACTTGACATCATCAGCATACATAAATGTAGTAGCAAAGTTTACAACACTAGGTAAATCGTTGATAAAAAGAACAAACAGAAGAGGTCCTAAATGACTACCTCGTGGGACACCAGATGAAACGTTTATAATCTGTGATGAACGGGTTTTAAACAAAACACGCTGCGTGCGGTTCGATAGATAGGAGGTCAACCACTGTACTATATGTGGAGAAAGCCCCATAAGATACAGCTTATGAAGGAGGAGATGGTGCTAAAGTCAGTGTATACCACATCAGTTTGCATGCGGCTCAGAAAACCTCTGTGGATAAACGAAGTGAAATCAACAAGGTTAGTTGTGGTAGAGCAATGCTTGACAAAACCATGCTGTGAAGTGGAAATAATGCTTTTACAAAAATTTTGCAGTTGGAACGTAACCAGTTTCTCAAGCAGCTTGGGAATCGCAGATAGGTTAGCAATCCCCCGGTAGTTCTCAATAAGTGCTTTAGACCCTTTCTTATGAAGCGGAATAATAAATGATTCATTCCATCTCTTGGGAAGACATGCCAGCTCTAAGGAAAAGTTGAATAAGATAGTGAGAGGATAGCAAAGGATATCAGAACTTGATGTTATTCATATTCATCGGACGAATAAGTGTTTGAAAAAATGACGCAAAGAGATTAGCAATACCTAGCTCAGAAGAATGTGAAATATTTTTATATGATAGGGAAGGAGAAAAAAGATTTGATTTACGTTTCATATTGACAAAAGAATAGAAGGAGCTTGGATCATTACGAAAGTTTACCTTACAATTCATGATATACTGCTTATAAAGTTGGTCATTGAGAATAATAAACTGTTTGCGAACATAAAGAAAGTTTGACTGATTGCACATCGATCCTGACTTGAGAAACTTTTTGTTAGCCCTAGATTTCCTGTTCTTAAGACGAGAAAGGTGTTTATTATACCAAAGTGGTTTTGTAGACAGTGATACTGGGACTTCCGGAACAAATTTGTTCAAGGCCTTATGAATTATTTCGTAAAACGAATCCGTAGCTGCTTCAATTGTGTTTATAGACGAAAGAACATTCCAATCGATTTCAGCTAAATGATTCCGAAGGGCAATAAAATCAGTCTTTCTGAAGCATTTGAAACGAGGTTTAGCATTAAAGCAAGCATCATTGTGAGGCACATCAATTAACACCGATGCTAATAGTGTAGGGGTGTGAATGTCTTCAGGAAGCGATAGCGGCGGGGACCGAATGACTGTCACAGAGGATGACACATTAGAAAAAATAAGGTCCAGAAATCTGCCATGAGTGTTATGAATTGGATTAATTTGGAGCAGGGCAAGTTCGGTTAAGCCATCGATAAAGT